CTAAACCCTAAACCCAAAGCCCCATCCCCCGAGGCTCTGGCAGCCAGCTTCCGCTTCGTTTGCCAGATGGACGCCGGTGGTGCTCCCGCACGGGCCACCCTGCAGTTTAGGGTTTAGGGTTTAAGGTTTAGGGTTTAGGGTTTAGGGTTTAGGGTTTAGGGTTTAGGGGTTTAGGGCTCAGGCGTTGAAGGGTATGGGGTTTCGGATTTAAGGTTTGGGGTTTAGGGTTTAGGGCTTAGGGTTTAGGGGGTTTCAAGTTTAAGCGTAGGGTTTGGGGTTATGGGTCTTAGGGTTTAGGGGACTCTTTGAAGTGCTGAGGTCTAGGCAACTGAATGAAATGGCTCAGGAGTTGTGCAGGACGCGAGGCAAACAACGTGTGCCTTGCTCTCCGTTGCCCCCGAGACCTCAGTCTGGAAGCAGCGGATACTCAGATTGATATCTCGATGGATGCAGGGCTTAGGGCTGCGCATCTGCTGCTTCAGCCCCAACATGGCAAGTTGTGGACCCGCAGACACCCCGCGGGTGGGTCTAAGCGCACATCATGACACCAGCATACTCGTAGATGCATACATCCTGTTTTGCTGTAGCCTCATTTGTATAGAAACCCATCGCATCGTTGCAATATTTCTTTGACTCCCTCATTGGACGACACCTGGCAGCAACATGCATGTTGTTGCATGCTCTTTCCATGGGATGCTACGTACATATGGGTCGTTTTCTAAATTAGGGTCCGGTTTAGGGTCCTTTTATAAGGGTGCCGTACTATATTGGGGATCCAAAAAGGGACCCTAATTTAGAGAACTACCCATATGATTCTCTCCAGACGAGAGTCTTGCAGAAGCAACGAGACAGATCAAACACACCAGAGGCCAGAGACGTGCTTCTATAAGCAGATCAGGCTCCGAACCCTGCACCCGAAACCCTGAACCCTGAACCCTAAACCCCGAACCCTGAACCCTGAACCCCAAACCCTAAACCCTAAACCCTATAAACCCTAAACCCTAAACCCAAAGTCCTGAACCTTAAACCCTAAACATCCCTAAACACTAAACCCGAGCCAACGTCCTTCTCTAAATGAATCTCTGCTGAGCACCGCACGCCAAGCCCAGGGTAGCCAACGGCAGTGCTAGTGCCGTGCAGGCCTTCTGCGCGATTTGACAAGCGGGTATAGGGTTTGGCTGCAGGGTTTAGAATTTAGGGGGTTTGGGTTTAGGGGTGAAGAAGCATTTATCCGACAGAGTCTTGTGATGCTTGTCTTTGTTTCCTAAGTCAGAAAACAAACCCTGAAACCTTAGGACCCTATCAACCCTAAACCCGCTGAAAAACTAAAAAAAAATATTCCGCTCCTGGCACTTCAGACGGCCAACCGAGGACAGCGGAGGCCGATCCCTATAAACCCTTGATCCTACGCCGCATCAACCCCAAAAAGCCCCAAGGAAACCCAAGCAAAACCCTGCAAAACACGGAAAATGCTCGAAACCTCTAGAGACCCTCTAAAGCCCACATAAAACTTACAAAACTTACATCCAAACCCTACAAAACTCCTCTCTTCTGCTCGCCTTTGCACGAGAGAAGCCGGAGGAAGGAGCCTCTTTTGGCCTCAGCCCAGAGAGTGTAGGGTTTAGGGTTTAGGGTTTAGGGTTTAGGGTTTAGGGTTTAGGGTTTAGGGCCTAGGGTTTAGGGTTTAGGGTTTAGAGTGTAGTACTAAGAGGGCTACCACTGCTGATGATAAAAATCCTGCATTACCTGAAGGACCCTAAACTATGCGAATTATGGTATATTCCTTAATGGGCAGTGCAGGAATCCTTTCATAAACCGTAAAGCTCAAAGGGTTACTTTTAGTACTACAAGGTTACGACATTACTCTAAGGGCTACTGTATTACTGTATGGCCTGCTATGTCACACTAGAAAGGTTGCTATAAGTTTGGCGGCTTTGGGGTTCATGGGCTTCGGCGGTTTGGTGTTTAGGGTTTAGGGTTTCGGGTTCAGGGTTTAGGGTTTAGGGTTTCGGGTTTAGGGTTTAGAGTTTAGGGTCGGCTTCCTTGAAGCGCTTCGAAAAACCTAGCAGTCGGAACGAAAACTGACTCTGGAATTCGGGTGCAAAGACCTTGTCTCGACTACACGAGTTACTAAAATAACACCCTTAACCCGCAGCCGCGGGAAAACCCTAAACTCACACAGTTACTAGCAGCCTTTTGTGGTAGCCCTTTTTGGTGGATGTAGACCACCCCTCAGTAGGCCTTTGTAATAAACCTCAAGCCCTTGAAGCCTGAACCCTACACTCTACACTGCCTGAACCCTAAACCGCCTGAACTCTAGGACCCGAAAACCCTAGACCCTGAACCCCTAAACCCCTAAAGCCCTACACCACTTATAAACCCCTGCCCCGGCGGTTGCTTTGAGGCTCCAACAGAGCCGAAGCTGCGGGAAGATGAGGCGCCTTTTGGTGGAGCCGGAGTGCGGGGTGACTGCGAGGGGAAACTCCAGGTATGTATGCATGCATGCATGCATGCATGCATGAATGTATGTGTGTGTGTGTGTATGCATATGCATGTGTGTATATATATATATATAAGACGTGCTATGTATAGGGGTACCACGAGGGTACTATGGTTTCCAGCACGGGTACTATACTTTATTACGTAGTGTAACAGATACTAGGCAACGAAGGGGTGCTGTAGCGCGTGGGGTCCGGCAAGAAAGAGGTACTGCAGGTGCCAAAATGGACTGACTGCGCGCTTGAGGCCCGCACTGTGGCCGGGGTCGCAGGCCGCGCAGGTGCTGCAAGCTCCATCTCTCGAAACCTACCGCCTTGAAAGTCAGGTCGCTCACACGTGCAGCGAGGTCCTACTGTAGGAATCATACATCTGTGTATGACTTTACGGCCCCTGTGCCTGAAGACGCTGATCTCTGAGCCAGATAGTGTCGACAATTTGGCAGCAAAGGTCAACCCTAAACCCTAAACCCTAAACCTGGCCTGGGTTATTCTTTCCACAGTGCCTGAGATGGAAGTGCACAGGAAGGCAACACATGGAAGCTGCAAGGAGCCTTTTGAGTTTGTCTAAGCAGCTTCAGCTGAAGATAAAAGTCCTGCGAGCCCTAAATCCTAAACCCTATAGTAACCTTTAAGGGGACCGTCTTATCGAACCCAAAAGTACCCTTTAAGGGGACCCTAGTATTATAGAACCCTTATAGCATGGGACATCATGGGACTGCTGCCTCAAGCAGCTGGATGCACTGTTCCATGTGCCGGTCCCAAGGCAAGCTACTAGACGGAAGAACCCTAAACCCTCACCCTTAAACCCTTAAACCCTTAACCTTAAACCCCTCAAGTCCTAAACCCACAGAAAAATATCAGACCACGCGCTTCCGGCGCTCAGCTCACGCCATGCCAAACTCCACCCCGGCAAGCTCAATCGCATTGAGAGAGTGCTGCATGGAGTCCAGGATCCTCGGCTCTTCTTGCGGGAGCTTAGTTTAGGGTTTAGGGTTTAGGGTTTAGGGTTTAGGGTTTAGGGTTTAAGTGACTGCCATAAAAAAGAGGAGAAACCATATCATTGCCGGAATAAACAAAGCATAATATGAACACAATGGGAACACCATCTTACTTACTGTAGACCCCTACTACGGTAGCTTAACTTAAACTCCTTACCAACAACTTAAAAATAGATCCCTCTTGAAATACCCTAAATTCTAAACCCTAAACCCTAAACCCTAAACCCTAAACCCCAAACCCCTAGACCCTTAAACTCCTAAACCCCCAAACTCCTAAACCC